CAGGTACAGTGCCTAAGGGTGGCGAAGAAATTCATCCCCAGAGCTCATTACCCCAGGGGCCCCTGGAGCCCCGGGATTGAGGCTAGCTCTGCCCAAAAGCCGGGAGGGGAAGGAGGGCAGGAGTCAAGAAGGAAGAAAAGAGGGGAAGGAAGTGCAGAGTAAAAGGAAAAATGCCCTTGTCTAGGGTTCCCTCCCAGGGGTGTGCCCCCAGGAAGGTTCCAGAGGCTCAGTTCTGGCTTTGGTATTCTGCACTTCACCCAGGGTTCTGTAGACACATTTTTAGTACTTCCGGGAAAGTATTCGGAGGACAATCTGCCAAACACCAGGCTATTGCCAGATCCCAGACCGCTATGGCAGAGTACTTCCTCGGGGTTCCCTGTTTCCACCCCCACCCCCCACCCCAATTGTCCCTGGGTTGTGTGTGCTGTGGAGCTTGGCTCCAATGGGAGCCCTGCTGGAGCTAGAATGTAGCAGGCAGTCTCCGCTGTCCCTCTCATAAGCCCAGCCAGACTGCCTTTTGGAAGAGGCCCCTCCACGCACCAAACTGCCCACTGACTTGTGGTTGATTGCTCTCTTACCCAAAAGCCCAAAGCTGGCCACCCTGCCAGAGGTGACAAGACCTGCCAGCCCCCTACTCTGACCCATGAGCTCAGCCATATCTCAAGCAGAAGTTAGTCGGGGCCATTCAAAACTAGTAGTTAATGCTGATCGTTTTAGAAACAGCAGGCCCGACTGAGAAGGGGGTCACTGGAAGAGAGTCAGATGAATCAAATGAGACCGCATAGGTAGCAAGGCCTGGCTCTGTGTCTGGCACATAGATAGAGCTTGACATTCAGTCTCCAGGGACATAAGAGAGAGACGAGGGTATACTGCAGCCAGGAAGTCTGCATGTCAGGACACAGCAGGGGTAACATACACAAAAAACCCAGGGTCCTTTTGGGCCCCTTTACCCCTTTAGGAGTCACTTCTGGGCTTTCTTGGAAGAACTTCAGGAGTCTGTGTATTTGTAGACCCACTGTGTACACGCAACGACATGACAGTGATCCAGGAGAGGATCACAGGTCTCCTTGATTCGGGGAGTGGCTCAAAGTTCCGGTTCTGGGGTCCCAGACCTGGGTTTGAATCTGGATCCACCACATACAGGCTGTGTGGCCTTGAGCACGTCCTTCACTTTCCTGAGCCTCTGTTTCCTCATGAGTATGGGTATAAAACAGGATCTGGTGAGGATTAAGCAAGATAATGCATGCACCATGCTGGGCACAGTTCAGTGAATATTGGCATCGTCGATTCTTATTATCTTCCCCAAGATGTCAGTGACCCCAAACAATGAAGACCCTCTACTCTGCTGAAAAGGCAGTATGGTGTTTGGGGAGAAAAGAGAAGGGCCAGCAGGCACTTGGGCCCCAAGTACCATTTCATTCTTCCTTTTTTTTTTTTTTTTCTTAATGTTTATTTATTTTTGAGAGAGAGAGAGAGGCAGAGAGGGAGGGAGAGACAGAGAATCCCAAGCAGGTTCCACACTGTCAGCACAAAGCCTGATGCAGGACTCAAACTCAAAAACTGTGAGATCATGACCTGAGCCAAAATCAAGAATCAGATGTTTAACCAACTGAGCCACCAGGCACCCCTACCATTTCATTCTTGATACAAGCAGAAGCTCAGAGTGGCCTGTGAGTAGAGTCAAAAAGTTCAAGTTCACGGCCCATTCTGGAACCATGAAGTCTGAGACACAAACATCAGCAGGATTGTGCCTTTAGGCCACTACCTCATAAGCCAGCTCCCCTAGGACACATATATACACACACATTCTCTCTCTGGCCTCCTCTGCCCACCCAAGTCTATGTCCTTTTGTGCCTCGCTGTTCCTGGGTCTCTGCCTGGGTCTGTGGGGTCTCTCTCTGCCCCACAGCTAAAATGGAAGGCTTGCCAGGTCAGATTCAGTTTGTTGGACTTGGCTGCGAAGGACCCATTCAAATCTTTCCTAAGATTTCATCTGCTGCCAGTAATAACCTCTGATGTATGAGACATGTAGAAAATGATTTACCCGTGTGCACTGCTTTAGAGTTTACAGTGTGTTTTCGTAAATGCTCTAACCCTCGCAGGCAAGCAGGACAATGACCCCAAGCTGCCCTCCTTTTAAAGGATAGAGACAGGCTCCTTGACTTCCTGCAGTCCCACCACTGGTATGAGGCAGAAGCTGGGTTGAAGGCCGGGTCTCTGAGTTCCAGTCTAGTTCGTTCTCCATGAGCAATCCCCTGCTTGTCGGTGCTTCCCATCTTGAGACTAAAATGAAATCCAAGTGCTGCTTCTGGGGTATCTGTCCTTCCCCTCGAGAATGGGGATCCAGGAACCCATCACTTGCTGGGCTGAGGAGTGATAGGCTATAGTTGCACCAATAGCAACAGTGAGTTCCTCTTGCTGTTGTCATCGCTGTCCAGAAAGGGTGGTTGGCCAGACCAGCCCTGTGCTCTGCCTCTGATTCTGGGTTCCCCTGGGCTACCTGAGTCTCCTACACCTGCTTGGAGCCTGTTGAAGGTCTGTACATAGAGTGGCGGCAAGGCAAGGTGAAAGGCTTTGACTTCAGACTTTGAATCTTTGAGTTTGAATCCCAGATCACTTACTGGCTATTGATGGGACTTGGAACAAGTAACGTCATGCCTCAGCTTCCTCGTCTGTGTAATGGGGATAAAAATCCCCAAATGAGTTTGAGATTGGGTTAAGATAATTTATGCAAAGAGCCAGGCTTATAGACATGCAATCAAGAAATGGCAGCTCTCTCCCCATCCCCTTTGTAAAGCTGGACATAGGAAACACCTGCCTTGCAGATGGTCTCCTGAGTCCAGGAGCCACTAGCTGCACTGAGTACAGCCCCTGGACCCCGCAACTGGGCAGGTTCTTCCACAGCTTTCCTTCAGTGCTTGACTCAGTGTGACTCCCAGGACCCGCAACAGTGGCTGGAAAAATGTGCTGATGGTGTCTGCTCCTTCCGCTTCTCGTAGCTCTCCGTGGCAGCTCCGTACTCCAGCAGGCTCCTGGGTCCGTAATGGTTCAGACCAATGGAATGGTGATAATGTCCTGCGAAGCCAAAACCTCGCCCACTAGCACGCGCATCTACTGGCTGAGACATCGCCAGGCTCCAAGCCCGGACAGTCACTACGAGTGCCTGGCCTACTGGGATCCCATAAAAGGGATTGTGTATGGACAGGAAGTGGAGCCAGAGAAGCTAACTGTGTTTCCAGACGCGACCCGGTCCATTCTCAATCTCACAAGTGTGAAGCCTGCAGACAGTGGCATCTACTTCTGCATGACCGTTGGGTCGCCCGAGCTGACCTTCGGGAAGGGAACTCGGCTGAGTGTGGGTAAGAAAGTACCTCAGTGCTGCCAATGAGTATGAAGCACCTACTATGTTCTGGGTGCATGGCAGACACTAGAGCTGCCCCCGCTCTCAGCGAGCCCCACTCTGCAGGAGGCGGGGGGTGGTGGTGCCAGCCATGAGCCATAGAGCTACAGCTCGTAGGAACAGACCTAGCCAGGGCCAAGCACATGCAAGTGTTTTATGTAGTCATTTCACTTCATGCTGCCATCTACCTGGGGAGGTAGGGAACTGAGTCCTGTTCCAGATGGGATGCTTAGAAGCATTGCTACTTCTTCTGGGGACAAGGCAGTGCTGTCCTTTGGCCGCCACATCGGGCCTACCTGAGGCTATGCCTAGATTGGCCTCAGTCCCCAGACCTGACCGTCGTGTCAGAAATTCCCACCAAGTGTGCATCCCAGGAAAGAAAGTCCTCATTGCCTGGACATACCCAGTGAAAGCATTTCTAGGGCCAGTGGAGGGGCAGATGCCCTCACATTCTGAACAGGGGCCTATGGCTCAAACCCACACCCGGAGTTACAGGGAGTAAGGAGACTGGCGCCCAGGCCTAGCTGCACATGCTGCTGCATATTCACTGTGTGCCTTTGCACCAGTCCCTCTGCTCCCTGGCCTCAGTTTTCCCATCTGTATCATGGGGCTGCTGCTGGCCTCCACGACCCACCCCCTGCCAGCCACCCTGAGAAGCTGTAGTTCTGTGAGTTGAATCAGCATGCCCAATAGAAATAGAAAGCCACAGATAAAATGTAAAAATTTCGAATACCACGTTTAACAAAGGAAAAAGAAATGAGTGGAATTAGTTTACATACTATATTTTTAACCCAGTGTACCCACAGTATCATCATTTTAACTTATAATCAATATAAAAATTATCACTGGAATGTTTTACATTCCCTTTCCATACTAAGTGTTCGATGTGTTTTTAACATTTCACGCATACAGCACACTTCGAGTCAGACTGGCCGGTAGCCAAGGCGACAGGTGGCTGCAGTATTGGAGAGTGAGGATTAAGCTGTGAGAGGTGTGAAGGAGTCGTGGCAAAAATTCTCAAAAGGCCTGGTCTGGCTTTAGCCCCCTCCCCAGGTTAGCCCACGGCCGTCCTCCTATTGTCCTGCTTCCCAC